ATGTATATTTATATTTATATGTATGTGTATGTGTATGTGTATGTGTATGTATATGTATATGTATGTGTATGTGTATGTGTATGTGTATGTGTATGTGCATGTGTATGTGTATGTGTATGTGTCTGTGTATGTGTATGTATGTGTATGTGTATGTGTATGTGTATGTGTATGTGTATGTGTATGTGCATGTGTATATGTATGTGTATATGTATATGTATATGTACTTGTATATGTATATGTATATGTATATATGTATGTATGTATGTATGTATGTATGTATGTATGTATGCGTGTAGGTAGGTATGTATGTATATGCGTCTGTATCTGAATCTATGTATGTATGTATAGATATATATATGCATTTACACATACATATATATATATATACCTACACACACCTATATGTATGTATGTATGTGTGTATATATATATACATATACATACACACATATACTTCATGATATGTTTAAAGCATTATCTCATTTGGGCCCCTTGCGGCGCGGGCTTTTGCGAAGTACCGGGCCCGGAAGATGTAGCCACGGAAGGTCGCCTGCGCCTGTTGGGGCGTTGTGCGGCCATACCAGGTCTTACGCTTGTAGCTCTGCAGACACCGGGAGCCACAAAACTCGAGACTTCCGTCTTGGATCTTGGGCCTTGCTGTTTTCTCTTCTCTTTCAATAACTTGGAAAAAAGGAGCCCCCAATCTCCCTTCCACTGCAACCGTCCTTGATGATGGATCCCAACACCCCTCGGGGCAGAGCGTTCACCAACTCCTCCCATGGCTGCAGGGCTTTCTCAGGACTACCTTGCAGCTTTAGGTCTTAGGGAATAGGGACTTGCTGTTGCTACTGACATTGGGATGTTTGCTAGTACTAGCGCTCTAGAGGTTTAGCCGGGCCGAAGAATAATGGCGGAAAGACCTGCATAAAGGAATCGCGACATCAAGCCAAAAGAATCGAAAGAACTAAACCCTTTCCAATCACAACGAAGATCAGGACAAGCAGCAGTCAGACAGCAGAGCCTTCCGCGGAATACTGAATCCAACAACGACAGCAAGAATCCAAGAATCCTTCACATGCACCATCCTTTTCATGCAATGATACCAGAGCGAAGGAGAAGCAAGGAATCGCGTTTTCATGAATGTAGATATTGCAATGACTCCCGCCGCCATGGTAGCGTTGCGAGACATGGCATCGCTACAACTCGTACACACCTAGCAACTACATTCATCATATGATTAGTTTTCATCATCGATCCACACAAACCGTGCAAAACCACGTCGCTCCTAACTTCAGGCTAGTCATACGAAAACAGCACTGGTAGCCCGAGGGAGCCTCGCAGTCTTTCGAGGCTCGGTCATACGACGATGCAACCCGGTCGAAGACGGCCGTGCGTGATGTGGTGGAGTCTGGCTCCTAACGCTGTGTAGGGCTCAGGCAGTATTAAGGATGAGGGCCTTTGCAGTTTTCACAGCGACATGTGGGTGGCGCCCCAGGAGTTTACTGCTTCACACTCATTTCGGAAATGATTTTAAAGGGGTCCGGTTGTCGCATACCAAGTCAGAACATACGAATGAAGAAGCCCTACCCCACAGGCATCCACCTCATGCAGCCGAAAAGATTCTGGCCAAACCTTTCGAATCCTCGAAGTTCGGAAACCACACTGCTCAACGTGTTTATTGAAACTGCAGGGAAGTCCGGTAGCTGCGGAGCAGGAAGGCGACCCAGCGCTGCATGCGACTCGGCGATGCGCGCGATGCCTGCAAGAGTTGCCAGAGGCTTCGCGTTCCCACAGTGTGATAGTTGCATTTCCTATAATCATGATAACATCCAGCACGTTGCATATAGCCCAGGTCCATACACAAACATATTGCTAAACCAATTACCACCACCACCACCACCACCACAATTACTACTACTCCTACTACTCCTACTACTACTACTACTACTACTCTTCCTAGTACTACCACTCCTCCCACTACCACTACCACTACCACTACGACTACCACTACGACTACCACTACCACTACCACTACCACTACGACTACCACACCACTGCCACTACCACTACCACTACCACCACCACTACCACTACCACTACCACTACCACTACCACAACCACTACCGCCACCACGACCACTACCACTACCACCACCGCTGCTGCTACTGCTACTGCTAGTACTACTGCAACTACTACTACTACGACGACGACGATGGCGGCTGCTACTGCTACTGCTACTGCTACTGCTACTGCGACTGGGACTGCGACTACGACTGCGACTACGACTACGACTGCGA